AGGAAAAGAGAGAGGCCAAAAAAATGTCTGCAGAAGAAAGCCTGCAGCCCTCCCAAACACACGTTTGGGAGGGCTGCAGACTTTCCTTCAGTTAATAACCCCTTTTCAGTTAATAAAACTTACAAACACTCCCCGTTCCTTTCTCTTGCATGGTCTCTTTTATGTTCTAAGCCCCTGATCCCAGGATACATTTAAGAAAGAGGTTGTGGTTTTGGCTTTCAAAATGTGGTCATTTTTTATTATAGGAAGACAGAAAACTGCTTTTCCTAGTTATTGTAATTAATTAATTAATACATTAATCAATTAAACAATACTCTCCTTGGATAGATTTTGAAGGCTGTGCGTAGGAGGAGATTAATGGTCTAAAGTTCAAACCAGTACCATTAAATTCAATGGCCCTTTTGCTATTGACTTTACTGAGCTGATGGTAAACTGTTGTCAAAATCATTTCTAGGGGCATTGATATGAAAAATTCACATTAGTATTCATTGCCATTACCTGCATGGACCCTCCCACAAATAGATGTGAAAGCAAACTCTGTAATCCTGTGGCTTTTTATAGATGTATGTCAAAAGACAAAACTGTGCAACTCAATAGGCCTCCTGATACACCTGCTCCCATTGGAAGAACACGTTTCCTGCTTTTCCAGAAAGAAGTAAAAATCCATGATATAATCAAACCTAGACTGAACAAGTATGTAACTTCTATATGAAGGTAATACTCCAAGTACTTAGGTCCACTAAACCTTTCAACGTAATTTGTTTTCATTGATTTTCAGTACTATAAAATGGCAATAACTTTGCAAAATCTTTTGATTCAGCAACGAAGACAAAATTTTGTCCTGCAAGGGACACTATTGCAGTTGAACTAGTGGTTATTCTGGACAGCCTCCAGATTGTTGTGGTTTCTTGTTTTGTTTTTGTTTTTGGCTGAAATCAGGTAATGGAACTGAAGACCATTCCAGAGAGTGAAGTGATTTTAATTTCAGCTCAAATAGATTTATATTGATACAAAGGCTTTTATTTCTCCTGCCAACTCTAGCCATACCTTAACATTGTCTACTGCTCTGATCATCTTTAATTTTTATACTATAAATGATCAGGCAGAGAATGAGGGTTTAAAAAAAATTAACACAAATTATAAAGAATATTATCCTTTAACCAAAATACTAAATATGTGCATGAACATAAAATTATTGCTTGTAAACCATAAACCTCTTGCATGATGAATACCAACAGACTAAGCAAGTGGAATTTAAGCTTTTCAGTTTACTGTCCCTTAAGTTATTTTACATTCATCATGACAGCCACAAGGATGAAGCATGCAGTGTTCCACATAATAATTTTATTGGCTATAATATCATTGTCCAGGTAAGACAGTAAATTTCAGAGATCCTTTAACCAAAAATAATACTATGTAGTTCCTCAGTTGCTTTGCAGTCAGAATAGTGTGCCTGATTATTTCAACAAATAACATTTAGACTATTGCCTGGACTTTATGGAGCGTTCCAGATTTCTTAGACATAAGCAGTCAATGACCAAAGTATTTGCTCTAATTCGAAAAAAGAGGAAAAAAGTTCCACACTCCTACCTTACTAAGCTCCATGTATTTCTTTGCTTCACCTCTTGTGTAGGCTACTGATGTATTCTTATTGAGCAAGGCTGTTTTGGATCCTCTAACTTTAGGAAAATGATATGGAGGTACAAGGGATCCTGTCTGTGTCAGTTTAGACTGGAACAACTGATTGATAACTATATTTTCACTAGCTGGGAAAAAAAAAAGAAATGTCATGTACAGAGATAAGATAATGATGAGAAAATTGCATACACAGTAAAAGGAACGGGACACACAAACCAGGAGATAGTATTTAACAAGATGAGAAATAAATTATTTTGGATGAATAGCTGATGAAGTACTACATTTATGCATTGTTAAGTTATTCAATCCAAGGCCAATAGCATTCAATTATCCCAGGCTGTCAGTCATCAGTGATTGTTTTAAAATTTACTCAAAAAAATATGTTTAAATTGAACCAAACAGGGCTCTAAGAAACACCAGATACAATTTAGGATTCAGTGTTACAGGTCTGTCTAAATTTCAGCATTTGGGTGTTGAATACTTTGGCTCTTTTGGTATATTTCAGAATCCAATTTAGCTATTATAGCTCACACCCATGTGACTAAAATAGTGGCAAATGAACTTCTGTAAAAATGGTGTGGTATTTTGTAGTATCCTGATGTATGCTATGTACTTCACAAAAGTCAGTTAAAGACTGAGCCAAATAATCTGACATGGCACAAGAGAGAGTTGCGACAGATGTGAAATCTGGGAAGCATGCAGTCCTGAAAAGATGACTGCATTGAAATATGCCAGACCGTCCTGGACTTTTTGAACACTTTGTGTTTCCGTGGTCCTGGCTGAATTGGTTTCCTGAGAAATCCCTGGGTGATGCTTAAAGTAGAATTTCCCAACAAGAGATACACCAAAACCTAGCTTTTGAAGCTTTGGTCCCTGAAAAGGGGTCCGTTACAGGAGGCCAGAAAGCAAAGGCCTAAACTAAATAAAACACCCCCAGCTTAACCATCCCAAGATTGTTCATGTTCTTGATCTGAAACCTAACATTTCAAGAGCAAATCTGTTCAGTAATTTGAAAGATGGGCTCCTACCAGAAACCTATGTTGTAGGTGAGTGACCTCTGGTAACTTTTACTATGTGCAAGTTTCTTGATTTTTATATGTTTTGTTTGTGATGCTTTTGCCCCAGAAATAAATGTAGTCTGCTTTGTGTAGTCTGCCCCGCCCCCTGTTGCCTCCTGCTGTGGTGCTCGCGACGCTCAGCCAGGCTGCCATGGGGGAGCCCAAATGGCTGCTTGCTCCCCTGTGGCAGCCCGGCTGAACGGCGCAGAAGTCAGCTGAGCACCACGGTGGAAGGCAAAGG